ATTTTACGTAATGAACCTGCGTTCATCAAACTCTGGGAAAAGATGCAGAGAGTGTATCCAATGGAGGAACTTAGTCCCACTATTTCACTGGTCATTGATCATTATGGATATTCTGAGGATTTTTTTAAACTAAGATCCCTATGGAAAACGCTTTCATCGGATCCAAGGATTAAACTAAATTTAAATCACCATAATTCTTATATTGAAGCGCTTTGTCGATGTAAAGCATTTAATCAGGCTGTTTCGGTTTTCCTAGATGATTTTCTACGAAAGAAAATCAAACCAAGCTTACGAACGTTGTTGTCAATAATCACTCCACTTAGAGCTGCCAATAAAAAGCTTCTCGAAACGAACCTTTTGGAGTTTGTGGAGAAAACGTGGCCAGATGTACACAACGAGTTTTATAAACATGACTTTGCGGAAAATAAACCCAAAAAATAAATTTCATCAAAAATAATGATTAAAATAAAATTAATGATTGTATTTTATATTTGTGGCTGAAATTATAATCTAATATCATGTTACGATTTCAAGGTTTCTTTCTTTGTTAATTACAGTACTTTATTTTATTCGAGTTTTGCACGACACAATGATAAAGTCTAAGGTAAAAAAAAGTAACGTTATCAATAAAGATACCGATATTGCATTAAAAATTTTTAATTAAGATTTTTTTGAAAACTTTATACAATCTACACAATGGTAACCGTTTAAAAAGAAATGTCATGAAACAGTTCATACTGTATTACGGTTTAAAATTAAAAAAGAAAAAAAGATTTCTGATCTGTTCTTTCATTCACATTGACATCATCAAAGCGACTTTATGTCTTATGGTCATTTACGTATAACCGACTAAAAAATAAAGAACCTTTAAAAAAAGTTATAATCATGTGTGAATATACTGTATACATTAACAAGATTTAGTTAATATGGTTATGTAAAAAAACCCCAAACGACTAAAAGCATGAAAATTTATTCGAATTGATTTTTTCATAGGTAGGCTTAATTTCTCTCGATAATGCATGCGCAAGATGTGTCTCTCTAAAGCTTTATAGTGGTTAATATTTTTTCTGATGGAATATACGATATGTCTCAAAACCTCTCTAAGAGGTAAGATGGAATGATTCTCTGATAAGTCTCTTTAAAAGAGACAAGTCATAAGGTATTAAATATGAAGACAAAAGGATAAAAACTCGGAAAGAAAAAAGAATGAATGGAAAAATATTAGTTTAATGAACTTAGAGAACAATAGAAAAACATGTTGGTTAAAATTTTTCAATCAATTAAGATATTATCTTAAACTTTAAAAATAACAATATATAACATCTAATGGCTCTGTTTGCCACGTTAATAATATTTTTAAAAAAGATTTTTTTTTGTTTATGTATTATATAATATTTTAATATAATAGACAGACATAAAAGAAAATATTAGTCCAATTTACATGTCACAGAAATATCATAAAATTCCACTTATTAATCGTGGAAATTTCAATTACTTAGTATTATTTAACACAGGTAGCTCATATGAAGACATTTCTAAAATTATTCGACGAGGATGATGAATTTGCAATACGTCAAAGGTTCGATACACCATTAAATTTACAGAAGGAAATAGAATTGCGACGAAAGAAAATAATAAAAAGCGAACCAACAGGGCCTACGAATTCTGAATCTGATAAATAAGGTGTGAAATGTGATCGGAAAAGTAATAAATTATACAATATTTCGTAATATAATTATGAAATATATTTATTATAAAAACTAACTCGCGCCAAATATATTATCTAAATCATGTATTATCCGGCATTTATGTGCCCATATATTTTTTGTATCAATAAAGGGATAGATATATAATTTTTCTCGCCTGAATTTATTTTGGCAAAGTGATCGGCGTTACAATTTACAGTATAACACACGTGATTTTTATTTGGATCTAGACATAATTCATATGCTAATCAGAAGTTTTTGAAGCATCGTAAGTCCTCGAAGCTTTGGAGGGTGATGCTTCAACAGGTGATTCATCTATGCCAACATGAACTTTTTAGTATAAGGAACCATCTTCTGAACCATTAGATAATAGTCCATTATTCGACTCTGTTATACCAAAAATAAAGTAGATGCGTGAACATGTAAAAAACAAAATGCGTCAAGGCTGAAAGCTATCAAAATATATACCTTAAATAAATAAACTTTTTCGATTACTTCCTTCAAAACGTACAATTGGTCCTTAGTATTTGGTATATTAAATTCAGTTAAAGTATCAACAACATATAGACCTTCACTTGTTCGATGCATTACATAAATTGTAAACGTTCG